TTTTGCATCCATATTTGACCTCAAAGCATATAAGTTTGCTCACCTCTCTTGTGAACTCTGACGTCCCCCTAAGGAGTGCTCCGGCCCTAGGTTGGGAACCACTGGTCAGATTTCATTCTAACAATGGTATATGAATTTCTTTCTTCTGTGGAACACAAGATATATTGAAGAGCGCTGGGGTCCAAACAACACTGAACACCATTGACTTTTATTAATTTTAATGTTTCACAGAAAAAGTCAAACAGGAGGGTGAGCAAGTGATAACAGAATTGTCCTTTTTTAACTAATCTGTTACTATCTGTTTCAGGCAGATTAGTTTACTCGTCTTTCAGGCAGGCATTTTTGTAGTTTGGCACTTTCTGCACCTAAACCTCTAGTGTGAGTAGTGGTCTAAGAGTGCGCTCTTCCATGCTGCAACGACTGATTCTCCCACTCTTCTCTTTCTACCGAATGTTTGTCTGCCTTGTCTCGTTTCCTTTCTCTTCCTTTTGTTCCCCTTGTTTTCTCATTTTTCTTTCTTTTTTTGGATGCCTATTGTAGTCTTTCTTTTGTCTCTCTCTCTCTCTCTCTCTCTCTCTCTCTCTCTCTCCACCCTTTGCTCCAGTGTTGGCTTTGTCTTTGCTCTAGGAATCCTTCCAGACAGTGTGATGTGCTCTAAAAGGCTCTCCCTCTCACGCGTCGATCCCAGCACGCAGTGGAAAAACCAACAGCATGCCCCTTGTAACATGCCCAAGTGCTTTTGCAGCTCCTTGGCAATCATGCACTTCAAAAATAAAAGGCCAATGATAATGAGAAGAAAAATCATATTAGAGCACCTGAAAGCAGCAAACGGTTTCAAGAAAGGTGAAGGTGCCCTCAGGAAAGAGGGTGATGCGTTGTAACCACTTGCAGGTTTTGAGATACATACATTCTAATTTGTCTTACACTCTGACTTTCATTGACTCTGAAGACAGGGCCTGACAGGCATAACCAATTCACCCACAGCACTGATCACTGTTCAAACAAGTGTGCTGGCAGCCGTATGGTAATTGAAATGAACAATGGGCCTGCCCCATCACTCAAGCGATTGAGCAGAAAGCGCCGACAAGGCTCATCTGTCGCTCTCTTTGTTCTCTCTACATTGCACTGTTCGATTGATGGGAGCGTGGAGATGATCGTATCTGTCTGCTCTGGAATTGATATGAACACGACTGCCGATCCATAGGGACCGATCCAGTGAATCAATTAGACGTTTTGTGCGGATGCACCAAATACTGAATTTACAGAGTAAATTACAGATTAAGAAAAACTTAATATCAGGAAATTGCATTGCACAATGCCCATAAATGAGGAAGACATGAAAAAGAAAGTATAGTTTGAATGGTGTTGTACAAATGAGCTTGGTGTTGAGAACCACTTGCCTTTAGTCCAAATTTTCTGTTTTGAATCCAAACCACGTCACTTAAATATTTCATGCAGATCTGTTTTAATTTTGGGCTTTTTCATTAATTTTGGGGGTTTCGCATAGTTTTTTACTAAGCACTGGGAATCTGCATGAGTGTGTATGCTTAGTCATTGCATGGTTTTTGGAAGGGCTGCTGAAACGGGTGCTCATTTAGGACTTTAATTAAGACTAAATGCACTTTCAGACTCAGCGATACGGCACAGCCTTCATTTACAGGAACCTCATTTTTCAGGAACCTGATGATCTAGAGTCTTTCAGCACTGCATGTAAGACACTGAATGAACACGCGGTCCATGGAGGAATACTGCGGAATAATGAATGAAGGGTCATGATGCCTTTCTAATTTACATATATCTCAAGCGCTGTCTTTTCATTTTGTGTATTTGTGTTATTTCCTTTGAGGAGAAAAGAAAGATAATAATTGATCAAAATAATTGTATATTGTAAAAAATATATATGTTTCTTGAACCAAGTGCTGCTTGGTTGTTTGTTTTCATTTCTGAAAAAGCACAATGACCTTTTTGAATCTTAATTTACCCAAATTATAGAGTTGTATTTTCTGCATAAAATTATTTGAAAAGGGCACTTTAAAAGTAATAGTTCACTCAAAAACTCTTATTTACTCGTTCAAAACCCTGATGCTGTTTTTTTTCTTCTGTGTAACTTGAAAAGGAGGCTTTTTTTTTTTTTTAAAGAATATTGACAGCTGATTTCCATACATAATGGTGGTCCATATATCATGTGTTGAACTCAGGAACTGGATCAGTACATGAATCATTCTGTTGGTCCAGTTCTTTTCTATGAACTGATTGATCTGATTCACAAATCAGACTGATTTTGTTTGGAGTTTAGCACACTAATTCACAGCTTGCTGGAGGGAAAGTTTATTGCTGAATAATGGTTTAAACTCAATAGAGCATATTAGTCACATAGACTGCTTTTATGATGCTTTATAGTGTTTTTTTTTCTTTCTCTAGCTTCTCATACATGATTGCTTTGAATTGTTGTATGGAAAAGAGCTGTGTGCCAATTCTTCAAAAATGTCCTTTTTTGTTTCACAGAAAAATAACAGCATACAAGTTTTGAATGACATTAGTATAATAATGACAGAATTTTAATTTTCACAGAATTAGCCCCCAAAAAATCGAGAAACATACCCCTCAGGCAACTTGTGACTGTCTAAACTTGTTCATCTCTCATGCGTTTGCGTCTCTATAGACACATCTTTGTGGGGTAGTTAAAAGCCTGGGCTTAATGTAACCGCCAGTTTAAGTTCTCTTAGTGTCGGATAGGCTCTGCTCTCAACACTTCACAAGGCCTCTACTTAGTCAAAACAACTGTTAATTGACAAGCAGAACGACCCTGAACAGCCCTTGAATAAAACATGAGAGAGGTTGGAAGTTACGCATGATCAAGTGGGAATTTAAAGGAAAGGGAAAGAGAAATCTGTAGACTCATAGCTCTCCATCTGCTCACAGTTCATATTTTAGGCTTCTTGCTGATCACAGGCTTTAATTTGTCTACCCAAAGCGGGTTTATCTATCAGTCTAATCAGCCGCCAACCTTCAGTCCGTTGGAATCCTAGAGGAAAGACTGCATTGTGGTAATTCATAATCTTTTGTGCGCACAGTGTGTCATGCAAAGATTGAAAGCCGAGAACAAAATGAAATTATTGACTTCTTTTCATTGCCTTGGCTCCCTCCTGGGTTTCTGCGGAGGAAAATCATGGCTTGTGCTTGGGATGGTAGCCTACAACAACACTTGACACTTGACAGTCAGACAAACTCCAGAGGCATCTACGGCATCTGTGTTCATAAGCTCCATTCCAAACCCTAGTGAGCTGTCTACCTAGTCAGCTTTTTAAGGCATAAGGCATGCTCCCCTATGCTGAGGCCATTTTAAACAATAGGCAACAATAATATATCTAGTTTTGGTGAAATTTTACCCAGCATATGTATTTTTATTATTGGATTGAGTGTTTATCATAACAGTATGCTACAGTCAGACTCTTTTGGAATGAATTGTCACATTACTTTCCTATGTGTTTCACTCTGTCTGTCGGACACATGGAGGTGCTGCCCATGTAAAGCATTCCTAATTGGTAATGAGGTTCCATTACAGTTAAGATGCCTTAGTGGCTGTTCACACAGGATTAGTTCATGTCTCTTCACAGTTTGGCCATCTCTCTGTATTTTCAGTGTCATGATTGCATCAAGTAAGATGCAATGTCATTTGAAAAATAATTCAGTTTCTGAACCATATTGCATTGTACCAATCAGGGAAATTTGTGTTTTGAGTGTATACCCTTAAGTGTTCTAGATCTAGCGACGACACATTCTTAAAGGCACATTTGAAAAGTCAATTCCTTCAAATGGAGAATGGAAAATGCTTCTGTGTAGTAAAAAATGCTGTGTTTCGTAATTTAACACAACCTTTTTATACACTGCATAAATTGTACAGTGTGTTGGGATATGCTCCATTTGATTGCATACATGAACACAGATGCTTGACACTGTGCTATTTCTCTCCAGAAGTTATGACAGAAAAAATGTCTTGTATTCATTTAAACTAGATTTGCTTGTATCTCTTAATTCAACTCACACAAGTGCTCATCAAAGCAGACGTCTATATTTGTTGGGGTCTTTAGTTGTTTATTCCGTCTTACCTTGAAAAAGTCACGTGCTGAGCAAATACATATGTGCAAAATAGAAAAAAAAAATTCTGTGTGCATACAGTACATTTGTACTATACTATGCTGATGAAATTTGTCACACACACTATGCATACACTAGCGTGCGCATAAAAAAAAGTATGCTTTAGAAAGCACTAGCTTTTAGAGCAGAACTATCATTTCATCCTTGTGCTTTTCACGCACCTTATCAGCCTTGTCACAAGTGTTCTGCTTTTGGAGGAAGTATTCCACCAAAGTCTGAAGACATGTCTAAATGTGGCATGGCTCGGAGCTGAATCTCACCCAACCGTTTAATGGAAGTGAGTGAGCGATAGAGCTCAGAGAGAGGACGCCTAGAGCCACAGCTGAGACAAAGACACGCTTAGAGATGCAGACTCACACTGTGTACATTCATCTTTCCCCAGTGGGGGAAAAAAAGAAAAACACACATGTACAGAGTGAAGATACATCGACAGGGTGCTGCTGGCCAGTGACCTGAAAGGGGAATGACAGTGCAGCAGACGTGGTCGCGGTCACAGCGGGGGCTTCTGGGTAACAGGACATCTCTTCTGCGACGCTTCATCTTTCACATCAAAGGCCTTTGTGCATCCACGTGTTATTCTACCCTGTTAAAACGCATCGTACATTATCAGACCAAACAGCTTTTTTGGCTTTCATGTTGCTACATTTTGCATCGAACAATAGAGTTGTTTCCGGATGGGGTTTTTAAAAGGTTTTTCATTGAAGATGTCATGAAGGCAGGCAGCTGTAGATGAACCAATCAGTAGGATGTGGCTGGGTCAGTGTTCAAATAATGCAGGTATTCACCATACTTTTTGATATTTATGGCCAAGGCGCTAACTTCCTGTCATGTCTGTGTTCTAGATGATGAAACATGCGTGGGACAGCTACAGGCAATACGGCTGGGGCCACAACGAGCTCAAACCCATCGCCAAGAAAGGACATTCCACCAATATCTTCGGTAAGTAAGGAGCGCACATGCATGTTGGAGTCTCATTTACATGCAAATGACTGCTCTTGCGGGATGATTCGGTTCAGGGTGGTAAGGACAGACACACACAACCCCCTCTACATCCATTTTTGTGTGCTATCTACAACTTGCACCCTCGAACGATGAGACGTGCAAGCGCAGTTCACCGTCCCTAATCATTATTCTGTTTGTGTGTATTTGTATATCGCTGGTTCTCAGCTGCAGAGGTAAAGAAGTTTCGACTACTGAGACTGAATTTGATCTGTGTGTGTACATGTGAGCGTGCCTGAACAAAAATCACAATTGATCCTGTTTCCGTCTTACTTTGCTGCTGTGTGTGCAGGGAAAAAGAATAGTAATAAAATAAATAGTTTTGACTCTGAATCCTGATAGGATGAGCTGCATTGAAAGCCGTTGTGAAATGCAGATAAACACACCTGTGACTGCACATTCTTGAAGGAGTAGTTCACCCAAAAATAAAAATTTGATGAAAATTTACTCCTATACAGTCATCCGAGATACAGATGAGTTTGTTGCTTCATTGGAATAGATTTGGAAAAATGTAGCATTACATCACTTGTGCACCAATGGATTCCCTGCAGTGAATGGGTGCAGTCAGAATAAGAGTCCAAACAACTGATAAAAACGTCACAGTAATTCACACGACTCCAGTCCATCAATAAATGTCTTGTCAAGCGAAAAGCTGCTTGTTTGTAATAAATTCACGATTAGGACGTTTTTAACTTCACAAATCCTCTATCCATAATATTGCTTCCCTTTCATGGGAACTTCGAACTGCGTCCTCTAGGGGTCGCTGAAAAAGTGGTCTCATCTGCATCAGGAGAGAAATATGCACAGATCAAGCACTGTTTATAAGTAAAAACGGCCCAAAACAGTTCAATAAATGCCCACTTTTTAAATGTGCCAATCAATTCTTGCACCACAAGTCCCGTCCTTCATTGTTTCCATCTGAATATTCTCAAACTCTTTTCACTCAAATCTTACCACATTACTGAAATTAAATGTGTTGTGAATGCCGTTTCATTTTGTCTTTAAATATTTAGCTTTGCAAATTGACCTCGAGCAGTTTTCCTCATAAATTTGCCAAAATGTAGGTTGAGGTTTTATTTGTTCTTTCTTTGAGATAGCAGTAAGACACATATAATGCAGTTCTGTGGTTTAAACAAAATAAGAGGGAGCTTTTGAAGAAGAACAAAGATGCGAGAAGGAGAGAGAGTGTGGAAGAACAAGGGAGATGTGAGAGACTCCGCACAGAGACTCATGCTGCAGTGCGGTGTGTCGAAGTGTCTTTCACACTTCACTTTCATATTTAATAAGCCTTTCTCTGTTTATACCTAACACGTGGAATGAACTCCTCAGCCATACATGTATCGATCACTCTGTTTGAATGTACTTTGGTGTGTTTTGGATAGAGGCTGGTGGAACACACTGCTGGATGACTTTGCTCTTCTTTTCCAGAGGTTTCCCTCTCAGAAACCCTGAACACAGTGTGCTTTGCTCCACCTGAAGTTCTGTCTTCAAGTGAAGAGAAACACCACTTCTCTATTCAAAAACACTGTTTATGTGAGCTGTGTGACACTCACGCCATTGGTTGAGCCAGTGTTGCGGTGTCTGGCTGGTTGGGATGCTAAAGCAAACACAGTACTTATTCAACTATGATAGGAGGAAGTATTTTAACATCCAAAAATGATGCACTTGTCTTTTAAATTTACAAGATCTTTTGGTCACTTTCTCCTATTTAAATGTAGTTATGTTGGTGGGCTTGTTTCACGCACCCAGATTAAACTCAAATCATGAGAAAAACTTTTAGTATAAATTAAGTCAACAGAAAGTGACATGATGAAACTCAGCAGCATCAGCTCACTCATTAATAATGCCTCTATAAATAGTTCAGGCTGCTTTTCTGGTTCAGGCTAGCAAAAAAAAACAAAAAACTATATATATATGTCAGTACATTTAATGTGTACACAATGTAATGTAATTACTATAATATTATATAATATTTAAATATGAATAGCTATAAATAATTTAGGCCGCTTTTCTTGTTCAGGCTAGCCAAAGAGAAAAGACAGCTTTTCAGTCTTCTGTGAGTGACGTTCCCATTATTATGCATAATCCGCAAGGCTTTTGTGAGGATTATGATAGTTTTCTGTAATAAAAGGTTATAGCTTTTTAAGTATCTGTCAGTTAATTTATTGCTACTTGTCTGACCTGTGACTGGTGGACTGACCTGTTTTTGGTGGACCAGACTAAATTCACTATTACTGTCTGTCTTTTTTCCTTTGCAGGACAGAGAGATAATTAATATTTCTCAGAAAACCTTGCAAACATTTAAACATTATTTAGCATAATACTGCAGACAAAGCTATGAGAAAATAAATACTATATACATAAATATGCAATGAACAATAGATGAAGTAAGCATAAATGGCAACATCCTTAACATTTGTGAAGTGAAACTGGACTAGTTCACACAAAAATGAAATTTTTTTTTTCTCATCTACTTACTTTTATGTTGTTCTTAATCCAAACTTTCTTCTGTTGAATGAAAATAAGAAATTTTGAAGAACTCTTTCTGTCCATAAAGTAAAAAGTCAACATTGGACCCCATTGTATGAACATCATCGAATGGATTGTTGGAAAATTCAACAGTAAACTCTTTCAAAAATTTAATGATAACAGTAAATGATATAAAACAGTAAATGATAACAGTTTTAATTTTTGGGTGATCTATCCCTTTAAAGAGAGTCTAGTCAGCTAGTTTTGTTTTGTAGTTAAGTGTAATATTTGTGACATTCCAACAGGCCCGAAGTAATGTTGAATTGACTGTTTCAAAACACATTGCCTTTCGTGCTCAAACCTTGTTTAAGAATACTGATCAGCTGTGATTCCACATAGGGCTTTGACCTCTTGACTGTACATCTGACATGTTGGTCGAAAGGACTCTGAACATTCCAGTGGTTTACTGTTGTGGTGGGACAGGGACTTGCCCATATCAATCCTCAAATCGACATCCATTGATTTTCTTTCTTTGTGTGTGTGTAAAAACATTTGACCCATAAAAGCCTGAGACTGTGCTGGTGGAAGGCACTGTCTGGACAGATTGCTGATGGTAAGCACTTTGATCTGTAAACAAACACCCTGTTTACGGGGAATATTGTCAGACTGGACCCCAGGGTCAGATCGTGTAACCCAACTGCCAGCGTTACACATGTGATAACACGATACTAAAATAACCATGTTAACGTGGTCACACTGCTGTGCGAGTGTCTGTTGCTCTGTATGTATGTATATCTGCATTTTCTACAATTTTCTATTTTTCAATTTTCTAAAAAGCTAAGTTTCATTTTTGTATTTGTTTAAAAAAAATTATATTTCACATTTTGAAGGCTATGAAAAATAGTTAATGTAACTACTTATATTATACAGTCATGGTCAGAATTATTGGCACCCTTGGTAAATATGATCAAAGAAGGCTGTGA